AACTTTCCCTCTTTGGGCAATGCGAAGCTTCGAAGTGAATTTCCAAATATATCGAGATTTAGGTATACGTGGAATAGCATTTGGAAGTGAGATTCAACAGTTACTGGATAAAATAATTTTCCATATAAATCTCGGGCCATCTTCCCATTCCGAACTCGAGTGGAAATGCTAAAGGTAAAGTTATTCGAAATGTAGCTTATTTTTAAGTATCTCCTCGATTTAATGAGTCGCCCTTGTGGATAACGTTATCTCCATCAAAATAATTAATATTTGAATTTCCCTCCTTTTTGGTCCACGACTCGGGCCTGCACCGCGGTTCACGTAGGTCTCGCTGTCAATGCGTGTTAAAATACGAGCGGCAGCAGTCCATACCTATATAGTCAAAGGGATCGTACTTGTTCCGCGGCTAACGCCTACTCCTCCTTTCCGCTACCCTTAGGGTGTGTTTCTCCCTTACCGACCGCGTCGGCATACCGACAGGGAATCGAGCGCTATCTCCCCCGAGATCGGAGACCCACCGGTGGGCTGTTTACAAAACATTACAATTTACAGGGAGACCTACACGAAAAGCTACCATTAATTCGTTGGGACGGTCTCCCTCTATCTTCGGGTGTGCGGGACCATCGGCAGCCCCTCCCTCTTCCTTCCTGCCTTTTCCCCGTCCATCTCACTCTTTCTCTCTCTCTCTCTTCCTCCCAGTCGACTCTCTCTCGCTCTTTCCCCCTGTCTCGCTTAACTAAGTCATTGGCTATTTATTATCCGGCCAGGCGACACGTTAATGAAACCCAACGCTACTTTTTATTCGACCGTTCATGCCCGGCTACCATTTCGCCCGACTCGGATCACCGTCGAGACTGCCACCGTAGGCTAAACCGACTAATTCTGCCGTGGCGTCTAATCGGTAACGAGCTTTTTTTTTTTTATCAGAGGCCCGCGCACCCCCGATTAAGCTTTCCTTAGGAGCCCCTGAACGCGTTTCGTTTCCTCCGGATTTATGGCCCTTGGAATCGCCCTGCGGACGGTGCAAAAAAATGATCGCGCATAGCATTTATAGTAGACCCAGGAGCTGTTCAGGAAGCGCGATTTACAAGTCCATATGATAATTTCGAAATATACCGAAAAAAAAAAATGGTATTAAGCGTTACCACACAAACCGTGAAACATGCACCAGTCCCTAAAACGGCGGATATGATGTACAGTTGTCGTTTGTAAGGTTAAGATTTTGTATAATTATATTTCCTTCTGCATTTGCATGTTATATCGCTTTTAGAGACTGACGCTTATTTCTCGGTACTTCTTCTCAGGGTAAAATAAAAAGGTGGTTAGAAGAGATAACATAAAAGTAGTCGTTTCATGAGATGAGACTTTACTTAATTTTCGGACTAATCGAGGAATCGAGTGAAATGTTGAGTTTATTACATATGAACAAAATATTCTTACGAAAACACGTAACGTGATTGAGTGGGGATTAATTTGACTATTTTTACGTTGATTACTAATTAATAATGTATTTATCGGTTTTAGACATCTCAAGATGCGAGTAAATTAATCGTAACACCTCGTCGTTCGGTCTATCCAAAATAACCAAACAAATTGCCAGACCACCCGAGATTAATCTTTCAAGAAACGTCCACCGTGCCAGTAAATTCAATTATTCGTCCCTCTCGACAATTCCATTTGGCTCGAGATCGCGAAGCGACGTCTTCTTTACGATATATCTATTATTATTGTTTTCTCGCTGTCCACTATCTCTATTCCTAATTTTACTGTACCAATAGGGCATACCTATATGCTCACCTTGTGCTGTTCCTAATGCTCTATAAACACCAAATTATATCGGTTACTAAATTAATAAGTCGTCAAGAATAAACCGTGTTTAACGGGATCAAACAAGCTTTCGTAATATTAATTTTTTTTTTTTAATATCTTTACTACGAATCCTCGAAAACCAATCACCTCCTCATTATACCCGAAATGTTCATCATCTATAATTACGTCTTGCAACTACCTACTTTTATTTACTACGAGAGTATTTTAGTTTAACAATCGCGGCCAACCTGATTCCAAGATTAACCTAGACAAAATGTCTAGAAATTACGAAAAATATTTTTAATATAAAAAAAAACACGATAATCACCGGTAAATTAGCCGAAGCGGTTTGCCAATCTTATACGAGTAGAACTACTTTGGAAAACGAGGTTAAATGAAAATGTCCGACGTATTTGAGGCGCATCCGCCGTCCTCTAAATTATCTTTAAACTACAATTTTCTGATGATTTTACGTGTTTAGTTCAAACAGAGGTGCTGAAGAGTAGATACGCCATCATAAACTTTATAGTGTATTTCGTACTCACTTGCGACTTTGTCGTTGCGTGACTGATAGCATTTAACACTTGATACATGAAGTTTCAAATTTATAGTTGCCCTATATTACAGTCCAAATTTGAGGCAAAGTATTCTCATCACTCTTCCGTTGATGTATCATAATAATGGGAAGGGTTTCCTAGTTTTAAGTGAGAAAGAACTATCTACTAATCCGTGAATTACTACTTCATTTGTTCACTTCGCTCATTTTAGACTGAAAAGTCCCAAAATTCCTCGATCGAATGTATCCATCCATTCTATTCATTACTTACACATCTTCTTGTTATTTTTGTTTACCGAAAATCATTAAGTTTCGTAGCAACAAGCAAAACCATAACACAAACTTGCCTTAATTTTCACGTTTTGTTCTTCATTTTATATGCACTACATATATTATATCGTAAACATCTCTTTATCATAGACCTAATTATTTGAAAGAATATAAAAAAAAGAGAAATAAACTTTTTTTTTTAATAAATACTATGACGTGTAATCGACAGCAAAAACGTAGTTTCGTAAACACTAAATATAAGGCTCTAACTGTTCATGGTTGCACTATAACATTCTTTTAACCCCAACACCGAAAATCCATTTCTTAAACTTTCAGTCTACCCAATGAAAGCGGTCATCAATCCAATAAAAATAACCCACAATTATAAACCTAATGACACATCCCTTTTTTTTTTTTTTTTCATGAATCTCTTCAAGAAACATGACAATTGGGGTCATTTCGCCGTCGCATTCGCATCGCTTTCATTAATCCGGTTAAAAACGTCCTGCACTTTCGTTATTTTATACTAAGGATCACTTTCTTGTCACTGGTCAAGTCAAAATCAAAATTGACGTAATTATGAATAAATTATTTCGCTTAAATAAATGTCACTGATAGCAACGTCATGAGAGATTTGATTCGCGTTACCTAAAATCAAGTCCTATGTATATCAAAGTGAAGGTAATTTTAATGATCTCTATTAGGTGAGTTTCATTACTTATCCGGAATGATTAACTGAGTTTGTATCAGCAAGTACGATAGTTCCACATCGTAGGTTTTTAGATCGCCGATAATGCAGCAAGATGACAGCTGACATCCATTAAGGCTCATTTTTCTCTATGCCTGTAACTGGATTGTCCGACTGATCGAATTCGAAAAATGTTTACCATTAATGCCCTTTCGTCAAACAAATGATAACGCAGCCGTCGCACCGCGACTTACCGGCGAAAACGAGACCGTATCAAATTATTTTCTTATTTTAACGTTTGCCAATACATTCATTTACGTGAAACAATTGAAATTGAGGCGATCATTAGAAAAACACGTTCCGAATTGCGTATGACAATGAAAAATTTAAAAGCGCTCTCTATCATGATAAATCTACAACGAAAAGTCATTTTCTGCATTTCACGTTTAATTGAATGGAGAAGTGGAAATAGCAGTTTCCTCCTATGCCTTAAAAAAAGAGACCAACTATAAGTAATATTGACAATATCGAAAAAGAAGTCGATTGACCAAAGAAATAATCAGGCTTCGACGCGACATAAAACGACTTTTTTTCCGGATTACATTCTGCACTTACTGTTCTACAGAATAAACTAGTTCGCATTTGGATGTTTGATTTTTCAACTGTTTGGCATAAAAAGAGTGCCTTACAAAACGTATCATATCATGCAAGAGAATTAAGATCGCGATATGAACATTGTCTTTTATTGGACTGAATAAAATTTGGACTCGAAAATACGACTCGACGTCACGATGTAGATTGCGATAAATACGATTTACTTTAATTCACGTATCACAATTATCAGATTTTTATTTACAAGTAATACGTAAGTATTTATCACGACGTTAAATACGGTCAAATAAAATCCAGTCACGATAACCGTTAATTCTCTTCTCAATACTCGAATGTTTTACGGGAATATATTTGACTTAGGTATCATTTTCAACACAATTATTCAAATTATCTCTCGCCGTTTCTTTCTTCTTAAACGAAGAGCAGGACATAATCGACATCGCGATTCACTTCCACGCATGTTTACTAAAGCTCTAACTGGTCAAACAAAGTTCGAGTTAACTTTAGACACATAAACAAGCCCAAGCCATAAATTCGGAAGTACCGACAAGTCCCATACACCAAGCAGGCGATTTACTAACAATCTCCATATAAATTGTCTAGCGGGGCAACAGACGAGGAGCTGAGATCATCATACTTCTTCCCAGGAATCGAATGCCACGAAGAAAGAAATACCACCCACGAGCCACACTACACGGTTAATTTCATTCTATGTTTCAGGTACTCGCATCGTTCGCGTTACACCATAATTCGTCGAAAACGCATTTAACGACGGCAAAAACGGAACCCTGGCATCGCCCAACGGGAGCGACTCGGAAAATCGATCAAAGATTCAATCGGTACGCGCTTCGTCGGCCCTCGAAGCCTATCGGTCCGAGGGATTTATATAATAATAAGAATGGAATTTAAAGCTGCGGCAAGAGGACAGGGGGATCGGTACCCACACGAGGCTCGACGAAACGAAAGACGGAGAAAAAACAAGGGAAGCGGCCGACCCGGAGATCTCGCTCGGCGTCGGCGGGAAGGTGGAGGATTCAAAATGGCGGCGGCCAGAAGTGAACTCACCATGGTGGCGCCGCTTGACGCCGGCGGCGGCCTGTTGCTGGGAGTGCCGGTGGGGATGGTGATGCAGGAGCTGCTGCTGCTGTTGCTGCTGTTGCTGCTGCTGTCGAGAGTCGCGGGCCATGATGGCGGCGATGCTGAAGTCGGTGGCGCACTGCCTGGTGCAATTGTTATTGTTGAGGTTGGGCGAGGGGCTGGAGCTCTCCTCGCGGTCGTCCCTGGGGGCGCATCGCGGCGCGTCGGGACTGTCGGCCTCGGGCTGCATCTTGCCGAGGACGGTCCTCGCGTCCTCCTCGTCGTCCTCGCTGCCGGGAGCCGCCGCGGCGGCGGCGGCGACGACCCCGAGGGCGAATCCGGGGGCGCCGCCGCCCGCGGCACCCCCGGCCCCGAAGCTGCTCACCGTCAGTCCGTTTCTCTTGCGTGCGACGAGACCGCGCGCCTCCAGCAACATCACCTTCGGGCGCGCGTCGCGGCGCTCCTCGGGGCCGGCGTCAGCGTTCAGGCGCGTCCGTCGGACGGCGGGGGCGGAACCACCGGGTCGGAGGGCCGCGACATGCCGGGCTCTGAGCGCTCTCTCTCTCGCGCGGGCTACGACTCGCGCTAGGCGACGCGCGCGTTCGCGTCGCTGGACGGCGGACACATGACTGCACCACCTGCGCGATAACGACGCGCTCTCGAGCGCCGCGCCGGGGCCGGGGGGCGCGCGCCGGACCGACAAAGAACGGCCGGGGGAGGGGGATCGGCTGAAAAATCTCCCGGGCGCTCTCCGTGGGACGCGCGAACGTGCGGACAGGACCGAGTAACGGACCGGTCGCCTGACGGACTGACCTCCGCGGCTGCTGGATGGCTCCGGCTCGCCCCCCCCACGCGCCCTCGAGCCGCGGGGAGGCGGCCCTCCGGCCGCGGCCACGCCTACCGGCAGCGTGGTAGCCGGCGCGGCCGCCGCGCGGCGCTGCCGCGGAGAGCCGAGGGTGGGGGCTCCCGAGAGAGACGCCCGCCGGGGATGGAGAACCAGGGGGACGCCCGGAAGGGGAGGTACGTATTATGGTCTCGTCCGCGCCATCCAGCCACGGCAGCTGCCATTTTTTCCTGCGGAAGGGGGCAATTGCTGACAGGGACCGCTTTCCCTCTGGCGCGACCGGCTCCGCCGGGTGAGTAGCAATTTATTGTTTTACCGTCGGACTTTAAACGCGACCGAGGGGCGGACGCTCCGACGGGTGGGTGGGCGGGTGCGGAGGATCGCGAAAGGGTTCTCGCGAGAGGAGAGGGCCGGCGCTTCTTTGCCCGATTACCTTCTCGTTACCGGCCGCGGCCGAGCTTCTCTCGTCCTTTCGGAGCTTCACCGAAACTCCGGCAGCCCCTCGCCGCGACGGCGCGCCGGCGCTCGATCCTCGGGGACTTTCCCGACGAGAGAGCGTCGCCGACGCTCGGGCAAAATGGCGAATGCGCGTTCGCGCACCTATTCTAACGAATCAATTTCCTCCTGAGAGTTCTTGCTTTTGCTTTCATCGCGTTTTTCCTGTTGCATTTTCGATAGTACCGAACGCACTCGAGTTAATTAATAATATATGGGTGATGCGCGAACTCTACAATGAATTATGAACGCACCGTCCCGCTTACGTTGTAATTCCTTTTATTGATAACCTGGAGAAAGTAATCGTTTGTACCTTGAGTTGAATTTCTTCCGATTTTTCCATCATATGAACCCTGTGTTAATGGTTTTGACGAATCGTTTTGGAACTGCGGAATATTTTCTAGCAATGGATTGCTGCGAGGAGGCGGCTGATAACTTTGATTCGATGGACGGGTTGTTGCAATTATCTATGGATCGGGGTTGACCGGTCTTCGTTCGGGACAACGGGACAACGGCGCAATTGTGTCGCAGTTCTGCGACAATATCGCTTACTGCCCAGAAGATGAGTGAAATCAGCGAAAGGCCACTTTCTCCACACTCAGGAAGATATTTACAAATTTCTTCCTCGGTGTTTTATCGCCTCATTAATTCACCTTCCAAGTAATGCCGCTAAGCATTCCTTGCAACCGCTTTTGCGGCTCGGACTTAGCCGGAAATTTACGTATAACTAATTATTGCCAATTGGCTACTCGCTCACCTGTCGGGATACCAGCAGGTATATCGAAGTACCTTTAAGAGATGAATACTTACAACGCGTGGATCGCAAAATAAATAAACGAGTGCCGATGCATCTTTTCCAGCTCTGTAAACGGTTATTGCAGTTATCGTCCGAAGAAATGTGCGCGCGATCATGCTTTGTGGAATAAATGCGAATCGCATTGCAATTAACCGGTTTTCATTTGAATATCACCCGATGGGGTGGCATTACCATGAACGACAGATAATGGTTCGAGCATATCTGCAGAGAATCATGGTGACCGTTACTTTTGGTGCCGTTGCCACTCGTAATCGCAACGTTAGTTACGATAAAATCAATCGTGCCAGATAACGTAGTAGGAGATAGAGAAGTATGGCCGCCAGTAGCTACCAGGGATGGGGTTGTAATTAAGGCACATAATGAGTAACGCGATTGATAGTTTGATACCTGTTCCGAAGAAAATACCGTGATACGTATGTCATTATTCACAAAAATGAAGGGGAAGTGAAACACGTCGAGGAACTGGATCGACGTCGTTAAAGAAGACGTTTCTAAATACCTACGTTGGTGACATTCGTTTTTATATTGACAGCCGTGTCGAATTATATAATGGGTATTGTACTAAATGACATACTCCATATGTCCTTTCCATAGAATAATTATAGAGATCGAAGTAAAACTCCAGAAATACCCTGGATTCGTGATTTTTAATGCCCTAATTGACTGCAGAGTGACACTGCGCCATCTATGATTTTCGTCTAAACTAAATGTTCACTACCGTCATTTCAGCCCTGAAGCGCATAAGACACTTTTTTGCCTTTTTCCCGTTCAAATGCAAGTTTCTTGATTATCAGAGTGTTCTAAATTGTCGTACAACTGTCCTGAAACTTCCGTTTCTCAAATTAGAGCCTTCAATAATTGAATATCGATCGAAATATAAGAGCTCAACGTCATTATGGTTCTGATCTGGACTGCTAAAAAAAAAATTGTTTTCAAAAATTCACATTTTGAAAGGGTCAGGGTAATTCCTAGGTGCTCCAGATTCGTGTGTCAAAATGTCAGACAGTTCTATCCAATACCTTTAAAAAAAATGTTTTTGTTCGAATCGACTGATTTGAGGGGGGTTTTACTTCACCTTAAGTGAACGTTCATATTTTTATTAGGCCTTCGCCCCTGGGGTTGATACAGGTGGTTACTCAGCATTTATCTACTGTTAGGTAATTCAATAATAATCTACGGTTAGGTAATTCAATCTGATTAGGAATTCTCCATGAGTTACCTCCGGTTTGAAGATATTAGGTACACTGTGACATATTTTTAAGATTGTCGATCCTTGATTAACTGGAGATCACTCAATCGAGATTCTATTTTTCAAATACCTGGTGATCTGAAATCTTACGAATGAAATGGAAATTATCTGACAACAGGTCAGATGTTTAAAAGAAAATGGTGGCACATTTGCTCCAAAAAGGTGTACCGATTTCCTGGAATTTCATCTTGAAATATATTGAGCAAACAGTCCACAAAACATCTGTTACTGAATTGGACATCCACATCCGTATTACGACTTAATCTGGCAGGATCGTTTAACCCGTTGAATGCCAAAACAACCGACGAGTAAGCTACTGTAATGCGGTCACCGGTGACCCCACGGTATTCAAGGTGTTAAATCCTACCCAGATAAGCTACCTCATTACGCAACCTGATTAAGCAATATTTGCCAGCAACAGAAGTCTAGACGCCGGAGAGTACACACAAGATGAAGTAAAATCTCGATTAACGAATAGGACAAATTTTCTTGCGTACCCTCCCACGATGTACATAAATTAAAGCTGAGAAAATCGTTCCATTACCAAAAAATCTAATTTAATAATAGAGTCATTCGATACATACAACGATGGACCATCGAACAAACGCAAGATTACCACATGCGCTCGGGTTGTAAATATCTTAAGTGCCTCAAAAATATAACCGTTACGGTTTAATTTTTCACGCTCTGCTTTTTCATAAGCGTAGAAAGACAAAAAGAAAGAGAAAAAAAAGAATAGGGCAGGTTCGAGTTATACGATATGAAATTTAGTTATCTTCTAATGGTAGTCAAATAGGTAGGAAAGATCGCAAGTATTTAGGAGAAAACCTCAGTGTCACGTTACAACAGGTGATACGTCAATGGATATACATCTACATGGTGCCTTTCTTTCTTCTTTATTTTCTACATATCCTTAATAAAAACTAATTATTATTATAATAAATATATAACAGATTGTAGTTAAGCAATAAAGGCAAAAAAAATGTCATATTGCGTTTGGAGCTCTACAAGCGCTTAAATCGCTACTGATTATGCATTTTGTCATCGAACGCAATAAATCCTAAGGATAATAATGTATTACCAAGTCTTTGCGTTATGCATGTGATTATGCATTTTGTCGTCGAACGTAATAAATCCCAAGAATAATAACGTATTACTAAGTCTTCGCATGACACTTACAAATGTTTCTTCTATTCTACCAATAAGGAACCAGCGGTATCCGTCATATCTCCTAGAAGTTTCCCTGTTTTCCTGATTCTTGAAATTCCCTATCTCGAGTTTCAAAGGCGCCCACTAATAGGTACGAATTTACACGGTCTAAAAATAAGGAGCGAGTACGCAGATAGGCCGCTCCGCGGCACATAGGGTGCCGCTTATCGCTTTGAAGTGGTTTCTCGTCCACCCCCACGAGTTTGCAAACGTTAACGGGTTTACCTGATCGTAACGCACGGGTAATAATGATAATAACGCGCGTGCGCCTGGCCCGGGACTCGCCATGCTCCAAGATGTGGCGGAGGGCGGAAGAGCGGAACGACCGGAAGCGGCTGGCGGCTCCTCTTTGACAGAACGCGCTTTTATGGATAAGCTTGGATACGATTGGGCAAAAGATCGGACCCGAAAGCTTCATGCCATGCGTGCAGAGCACCGATGCCAGTAGTGCCAAATTAGCCGAGCTTTATTGCATCGTGCTATCTCGCGTCCCAAATGGCCTCGCAAATAGAGTGGGGGACAATTGGAAAGAAATTGCAACAGTTCTTCTGCTCTTTCTAGCTGGACTTGACAAGCTCTCTTTCGGTGTCGTAGTTATTTTAATTGAAACAATAAGTACAAAATAACTCAAATAGGCATGTGGTTAGTAATATTGTTTTATAGAAGCTACTTTGAGGAGAGGACTAGATAAACTATATATTTTTTAAGGCAAAGCAAATTCTGTAAAACGTTCCGTCGAAGCGAGCACAAAGAAAAATAAGAGCCTTCAAGTTACAAGAGGCTATCCGTTGGAAATTCTTGTTCTCGATGTTAAATATCGAT